CCGAGGAAGTCTTTTGCCACATTGGGCCGACGCTGCAGTATCTCCCAGGTCTGCAGAACCTTCACTGTGAAGTCGCTCAAACGCTTAAAGTTTTCAAAAAATCTGGCGGTTTAAATGGCTTTTTCAGTTGCACAAGACTTGGTGTATATACCTCACACATCGGAATTCAAAATATTGGGCCCAATATGGCACTGCCACTCTAGACATCTTCAGTGCTGGAGCTGGGCAAAGCACAACTGTGATGTATCAGTACCAAAACTACAACATCTTCAACGGCTTCGTGTGGTATCATGGCAAAAAGGTCATCCACTTCTTGTACCACTAGTATTCTGTAACTATACCACACGTTTCTATGGCCACAAGCAAATTCTGTGACCTCCTCCAGCACCGGCTCCTCCAGCTCTGGCAACTCCACGAAGCTGGTGGCTTCCATGGCCCCAGGCTCTCATCAGCTCCGACAAGGTGTGTACGACTGGGACCGCTTTGTGAGAAAAAATCAAGGTACCCTTCATGCAAACATTCTGCCAGGGGAATTTACTTCGGTCTCCCTGTGCCCGTCGAAGGAGGGACATGAGCATGGCTGCGTGCACGAAAGCAGCAGCTGAGGAGATCGATGGTCGGAGTGCACTAATCCAGCACGGCCTACACTTCGAAACGCCGAACCCCAGCTGAAAAGCAGAAACCAGATGCAAAGGCACCCGAACCCGGAAGACACTGTGCCCCATCTCGTTGCAATGACTCCTGCAAACGAATGTGCGATCAGCCTGAATCACAACATCGAATGAGCCACTAAGCACAGCTAGACCAAAAACTTCAGTGCCATCGTGTTAACGAGGGGCTTGGTTGCAAAGTCTAAGTGTTCCTCAAAGACTTGAAACAGCCGAACCAGACGCCCACAGTCGAAAAACGACTCCAAACTCCCATCTAGCACAGGAAGGCCTGGGTGCAGCCGCAGCAGCAAATGGTGCGGACTGGTGAGGTGCACAGTTTCAGGGTGACTGCAGGGACCTTCGGGTGTTTCTACATGTTTTGGATCCGTCCTTGCAAACGGCCCAGTGAAATCGCCTTTCTGCAGCCCCACAAGCCCAATCAGAACAAAGCACGTCATGCTTGCGTTGAACTAAAGCAGTGGACCCTTCGCAGAACTGCGACAAGTTCTACACCCGACGTGCTCTCCAAAATGGTACGATGGACATGCAGACCCTCTTTTTGCAATGGTATGTTTGCGCATGGCTCCAGGTCCGTCGCCTTCGCCAAAGCAGGGCTGTACGGTGCCGGGGACGCTTTCTGCATCCCGCCTGGCGCGCCCCCACCCCACTCCGCGCCGGCAGCTCCTCACACCGCCAAGTTCACCAGTTCGTCTGCAGCGTCGTTAACGGCGAAATCCAAGTCCTTGAGCGCCCTCGCCAGCGTCTGCAGGATGCCTTGACGGGCGCGTTGACCCTGGTCCATCCCATTCGCCGTGCCATCTCGACGTCTCCTCGTGACACAGCGTCGGAGACGTTGGCAGTAGACGGCACACGACGAAAGTCGCGGGGCCATTCAGCCGGCGCTCGGCCGCACCCGGGCCGCAGCCACACTGACGTCGGTACATGGCGACAAGCCGCCGAGGAACTTCCCGGAGTGACAATGGGAGCGCCTCGTTGATGCCTGCAACTCGGTTCTGATCGGCGGCGAGCTCTACACTCCCGTCGGCCTCGGCGAGATCCTCTCCAAGCGCACGTTCTGCGCTCAAGATGGTCAACCCGCTGGCCCAGCTAAGGCGCAGCGCCGGCCCTGCGCAACAGGCGCTGCCGCCGTCCAGGGGGACCATAGCCGCTGGTGCCGCGCGGCATTTGGGGCGTCGTCGACGGCCTCAACCCCATCCGGTGGGCCTGGGCCAGCTGGGCACCGAAAAAGCGATCATGGCGTACGTCCACGAAGCTAACACGGATCGAAATCCTGCGCCGCCGTTGGCTGCCGGCGGTGACCGCCTGGGCCGCCGCTCCTGCTCGATTAGAAGATCTCCGCCGAGACCCGCATCCTCTTCACGAAACGAAACCTTTAGGGAGCGGAGGCTGCCCACTTGGGAGCTGGCTTAGCCAGCCGAACACCAACGCCGGCATCGCCCGCTACTGCTGACATGGTCTACGGATCCGCCGGTGGCTGCGGGTATGGATCCGATGTTGCGGCGTCCCCGCCGGTAGATCTCCCCATCGTTTTCGTCGCCGCAGCCGAAGCCACAGCGCTGGGCGACGAGTTGATGGCCCTCACGAGTACCTGGTGCTCCAAACCAGTCCACCCACCGAAGAACGACGATGCGTCCTCGCCGGCCGCGACAGCAGCACGGAGGGTGTCGGCCGCCGTTCTCACCTCAGCCATGGAAGGAGCCGCCATCGCGACGAGGGAGATCTACGTCGGGCGACGGAAAGCCAGCAGCAGCTGCGGCAGGTGCGTCAGATGCGCCGGACTTGTCCCTTCACAGAGTACATGTGTTACACAACATTGCGGGTACTGCGGGTACGTCGTCTCCCGGGCTGAAGCTCTCAGCCAACCCCCGTGAGCCTCCGGTCGAGCAACTGGACGGTGACCTCAGGACAAAAACCGAAAAGCAGCATCCCCTCATGTGTGACTGTAAGAAGAGCTTGCCTGGACAGCAACATGTTCATGTAAGCCTTCGTCCACCCTTTTTAACCAACGAACAACAGGAGGCAGCCATGGCAGAATGCCGGCTGAATTTCCAGCATGCTGGATCTGGACGTTGACATGGCTGTGCTGCTACAGCTTCATTGTGCTCACCATTCGATGAAACCTGTGACGGCCCTAGTACAGTTCGAAAGAAGGGAACCGCATCTCCAGTTGTGATGACAGTAAAATTAGTATCACATCTTCAAGGTTTCAGATTCCAGCATGCAGGCTTTGCCGCCTCGCAGAGGACCTCGTGAAGAGCCGGTGCATTCCCAAATGCTGTCGTCAGACCGTCGTTGCCGCCGAAGGACTTTCTAAAAGCTTCGACTGCGACCTGGTTCGCCCGTTTTCGGCGAGCAGGGAAAGCCCCGAAACTCTCCGCGCGGACCCTGCTAAAACAAGACACACGTCTCAATTCGAAGTGAAAGCCGTCAGCGTGAGTGGGCCTGTGCTACAGAACCCTGTTACAAACAAACAACGAAATTGCAACTCTGAGCCGTCCCGCACGACGGTTGATGGCCAGGTGGGAGCCCAATAAAACTCTCAAACCAGTATCATGCTCTTGCCCTGATCCTACTTGAAGAATCTGGGTGATGTCTGTTTCGATGGCGAGGCGACTGTACCGAACACTTGGTGGTAACGCTGGACGGAATTCAGCTAGATTCCATGCCCTTGGGCGCAAAAGCTGTCAGAGTAATTCTGGAGCACATCATGCAACGCTTCCTCCAGACACCAGCATGTGGCATGCTGGAAAACCAACATTCCTCTCGCCCTGTCCGAGAAACACGTCTGCATAAGCCGGTGCACTGATGGACAGCTGTGCTATGAACAAGGTCAGAGCCATGTCTGACCCAGCTCAAGGGCTCAGCAGCGCCGTTCCTTTGACCCCTTGTCGCTTCGAAACTCACCGCTTGTCCCTCGAGCACTTCGGCCATTATCCATGCACTACGGAGATGCAACAGATGCATCCAAAAAGGCTGGGCCTCAGGTAACCGGGTGGCTATCTGTCCGCCAGGCTCACTCAGACAACCACTGCACATTCAGTACAGTTGTGCGGCGGGGATAGCACACCTACAGCCTCCGCGACCGAACCTCTGTTCAGTGAAACTAAGACTAAGACAGCTGGGAAAATGAGTTGGCCGCAGCAGCCTCAGCAGGCTCACCAAACAGACAGGCTCGTGCTGAGTTCGGAATGCCAAACCCATCAACTGTGTTTCTTGCGGGTTTTTGGGTTGTAGGGTTCAGTATTTGCGGTCCGGGGTCTATTCTTTGGGGTTGCGGGTTACGGGGTGTTCGGTTTGCGGTATACGTCTTCGCGGGTTGGGGGATTGGGGTTTCAGCTCGGGGTTTCGGGTTTAAGTTGAGGGTATGGTTTAAGTTTAAACAGATGGCTAGAAAAGGAAAACACAAGACACATTTGACGGACAAAGCAGAACACGGCGGACCCCATAGACACACAAGGTTAGCAATACAAATCTACGAGTTCGGCGGAAGCTATAGGCACCAGGATAACAAAGAAACAGTTGCAAACCCTAAACCCAACCCCAACCCCAAACCATCCCAAACCCTAAGTTCTAGCCCCGGCTTGCCGCATCTGACCTGTCTTGACAATCCTGCAGAACGAGAACAACCAGGTGGGACGCAAACACCTTGCCTTGCCTTGCCCAAACGCCAAAAAGCCTAAAACTCTAAGCCCTAAGCTCAAGCACTGACTTGCGCCAACCCCAAACTCTGAGCAGCAGGGAACCAAGCCCTCAACTCGGACTGAGATCCGAAACTCCAAAGAGGATCCCGTAAACCCTAAACCCGCCGTAGGCCCAAACCTCAAGGCATAAGCCTAGTCCCCAAATCTTGGTCTAAACACCGGAGTGCTTGTTCAGAACCCCAAAGCCTAAACCCCTAATCCGATGGCCCAAACCCGAAACCCCAAACCATAAGACCCGAAACCCGAAGCCCTACTGACCCCCGAAGGCTTAAACCCCAAACGCAGCACCACAAACCCAAAGCCCCAAGCTGCAATAGGTAGAGCAAGCCGTAAACCTAAGCCCCACATCAAACCCTAATCCCCAAACCCCACAAGCCGTAAGGTCTAAATTGCTCAGCCAAAACCCCAAACGCAACACCTTACACCCCAAACCCTGAAGCCTAAACTGAAACTTCCAAACCCAAAACCCAAAACGCCAAACCCTACAGAACGGAAATGACACGGCTAACACCAGAAACGGCTCCGAGACTCGAGACCCAATACTCCAAGGCCAAAACCCTCCCTGGCAAGCCCGAAACCGCAGATGCAACTAACCCCAAAACGAAAGACGCAGTCCAGATCCAAGACACTACCAGCCGAAGAAGTTCCGCAGCGCTTCTGCCCAGCTGAGCTCCGCATCACTCTCGGAGGCGGCGCCCTGGGCTTAGTTTCAACATGCTGGAGGGCTCGCTTTGCAGACTCCCCCATCTCGGCACTGGAGTGCCTCGTCCTCATTGGCCTGGGACTCTTCGGAGTCGGAGGCCTAGCAGAGCTACATCCCAGGTGTGAAACTGAGAGCAGATCCGATGAGTTTACTCAAACTTCAAGCACTGAAGCTGCTCTTTCTCAGCCCTCGTCCCCGCTCTCTTCTTCGTCGGGCTTCTCACCTGATCGTACGTCCCCCACATCTGCCGAAAAGGTGTATTTCAAGGTCCGACTCAATTGATATGGAATGGACTCCTCAGGTGCATCAGACAACCCAAACGGCGGGTGATTCGCATCGAAGATGCAAGTGCAGGAGGTGCGAGGCCTTCCTCTTCACTTTCTTCCTCACCATCCCCATCCTCCTCACTGTCGCCGTCGCCTTCCTCATCTTCGTCGTCCTCCTCTTGGTCCGAGTCCGAGTCCTGCGAGTGTACACAGCCATCTCGATGCTACACAGGACACGAGCAATGATGAAATGTCTTCTGGCACAGCGATTGACAATTATGGGCACACCATGCTGATTGCAACGTTTGCTCATCCAAGCTCCTGCGGCAGCTGAACCTCACGGACGGCAGCGAGCTCACTCGGTGGCATCGGCAACACAAGGGTCGTAGCCTTGCAACCGGCAGCATTCCACAAGCACAGGTACTCCACCCGTGATCTTAAGAGACTCGGAGGCAAGAAAATCAACCGGCATCTTCAGCAGTGGTGCAAGCCCATGTCAGCGTGCCTACCGAGTGGGCACAATGCTTTTGATGCATGGAGCACGGCCTTTATGTGACTGACCAGAATAGGTTCGTGGGATCCTCGACACGTAAGGGAGTTGCCCCACCATCAGAATCAGCTTAAAAACAACCATTTTGCCTTTGGTTCAAATGTCTCCACCATTGAAGAAGGTTCCACATCCCAAAAGCCCGCTCTTATGAAACCTGGGCCTGGGCAGGATCCGGGAAGACCGACGTCGTCGGTGGCTCCGGCACATAGGGCCTGGAAGTGAGGTCAGCTCCAGTCACGAGTTTCCGATCTTCGTGACGTCAAGAAATGACGACTGTTGTGGCTGCTTGGGCTCTAAACTTCGGGATGGAGGCTGAGATGTGGAGCCAAGCCACGCCGCCGGCACAGGTGCGGTGGGTACGAGCGAGACAGGTTGAATGCCTGACCAAGCCAGAAAACGCAGCGCAGAAGCCATAGAAGCCATAGGCACATAAGACTTGCTGCACGAAGTTGATCCGGTGCAGCATGACGTGTCAGCATGAAACAGCCTGCAACGGCTGCCATGGCTGCAACTCCTGCGGATGCCTCGATTCGTCAGGTGTGGATTCAGTGTGCGTAATGCCGGAGGTCTGCATCGGAGGCTTGAGACTTTTAGTTCTCTCCGCAGCCTAGGAGCTGCCACTGCCAAGGCATCCAAGCCCGTCGCTGGGACTTGCTCCTGCATCAGGTGGCGGCTCGTGGCTCAGACTGGGTCTCGTAACCTTCAGGCGAGAAGCCATGAGTGCCAGGAAGCGCGCAGACCGAAGCCTCGGGAAAGCAGAGCTCCCAAGTTGCACGTGAGAAATGCCGGAGTGAAGACATCCTGTCACCCCTTCCCTGCAGTGGGCGCACCAGGTTCAGGTAGTAGTTGTAATGTTGCTATGGGTGCTTCCATTCCAGATATTAGAAACGCAAATGGAATGACGCCGAGTCAAAACTCGAGAGCAGCCCAGGTCACGACCAGACCAAGGTGTGTGACGATGAGCTGACCCCGTCGCCGATGTTGCGAACACATGATATGATGGCCCGACAGAGGTGACGACTATGTCGACCCAAGCGATACGCGTCTGCAACGAGCGGCAACATTAAAAAGAGCTTGGAGTTCAGAAGTTCGGTAGGCTAAGCCAACCCGATTGCATGACAATCACTTGCTTGAAGCGCACGACTTGGCCAAGCAGCTTTCGCAGATTCTCAAGCTTCGGATCACTTCGCGCATCGCCAAGCTTGCTGGAGCCCGCCTCCACCGCCAACCTGATGTCCAAACAAAGGCAGCCTAAGGCAGCTAAAAGCAGTTTCAAGCAGTTCAAAGCTCGGGCCGGAGCTCAAGCATGTTCATGCCGAGGTCTAGACGCTCCTGTCTCAGAGTTGACTCAAAGTCTAAAGTGGGCTGGGCGGACTTCTAAAGCACCATCGTTCAGGACTCTAGAGAGGCTAAGCTCAGTAAGCTCACGGAGCAACTCCTCTGCTGTAGTTGGCAAACCGGCAACGACGCCTCGAAAGCCTGAAACAGTACAATCTGTCCGTGACGCTTCCTAGCCATGGAGGCATGACTGATGCGTAGCATTGGAGGCCGAGCCATGGTGCGATGCGAAGCTGTGTCAGGAACAGGGTGCAACCCAACTCTTCTTCAGGCTGAGATTTCCTGCACCACGAGCGGGGGGCCTGCACCCACAGAAAGGCTTCGAGCCATGCCGCGATACGCATCGCCTGCCAGGTGGAACCGGGGAAAATGGGGAAAATGCAAAGCGCAGGTTTCCTCCACCTGACTTCTGACCGCAGAGGTCGTCGTGCTGGCTGTTCGCTTCACAGTACTTGAGGTACGCCTGAAAACAGCGGTATTCTTTCTGCACTCTTCCCGAGCCTGGAGCCTGGAAGCAGAGAAGAAGGGCTGATGGCTGCAATACATGATGCGATTTTGTTTCTGCTCTGCGTGGCCTGTCCCGGAACATCCCAGGCCAGCAGATTGTCCGCATCCCGCATGAAGCGCTGGTAAGTGCTGTCGCTCTTGGCCTGCTGCTTCTTGAAAATAGCTCTTTCAGTCTGCTGTTGCAGCTGCATCTCTCGAAGCACGAGACGCTCGCCTGCACATCCGGTGGAGGGGATGGTGGTGTGATGTTCTGGAGGGGCTGCAGCTGTAGTTCTTGCACCTTGCAGAACTTTCAGAACTTGACTTGACCTGCCTCCAGTTCTGCCCGCCATACATTCACCTGCTGGAAAAGCGGTATGTCCTGCATGGGCTGCAGTTGCAGGAGCTCCTTGCCAGTGCTGCATGCGAGGCACGCTGGGACCATTAGGATGAGAGGGAGACAAAACGAGTATGCTCGAGCGATGTCAAGATTCAATAACCTGATGAAAAGAAAGTGTCCCCACGCCTGCGGAAATGGGGCTGGCTGCAGGTCAACCTCCCAGGAAGGACGCCTGCACATCGGAACTCTTGCAGTCTCCGCAAGTCCGTTCGCCATGAATTGCTCTCCCGCCTCGCGTCGGCACGGCACTGGTCGTCCGTGCTGCGGCCACGCCTTGCTGCAGCAGGGTCCTGCGGCACCCACCACCAACCACATCACCGCTTGTGATGCCTGTGCAATGCTCCTCCTGGCAGGATGGGAGGAGGCCGCCGAAGGGCCTGGACGACAGAACAAGTGCCAAGCGCAACCACATGATGACGGCCTCTTGCAAGGGCGGAAACAGAAATGAGCCATATCTCGGGACGGTACACAGCACTTCTCGGGTCACCTGTGTCAAAGAGGGCCTTGCAGGACAGGCGCATCCTTCACAACCACGTGCCAACAAAAGCATCTCCTCGGGAAAAGGGTGCGGCACTTCCTGTGCGTCATGTCTTCTTGTTACATTGGCACCGGAAGCATTGTCGTGCAGCTCCAAGCAATGCCACCCTCACACTGCCCACGGTGCTTTCTTGAAGATCTCTGGACCCGAAGCATTTCCATGCCTGCCTGTGCCCCGGGCTTGGGAATCGAAGCATCGAGGCCTAAGTCACGATAGCCTTAGACTAGAGCATGTCCCTGAGCCTTAGAGCTCTTTCCAAAATGCTCGTGAAAATTGGCCAAGGCTCTTCGGCCCCTCCTTCGGGAGCCTTGCGCGACCTGCGGCGAGAGAGGAAGGGGGGTCCGAGCGCCGCCCCCTGCCCCCGGCCTCGGCCTCGGAGGGCAGCGCTGCCTCCAGGTGCCGTGGCCGAGCTGGGGCCTGGCCCTGGCACAGTTGCAGAGAGGACGGAGCTGCAAAAAAAAGGCACCCCAGCAGCGCTGACAGAATTTCTTCCCGCCTCCGCCTTCTCAGGCACGGGGCATGTGATGGATGGAGCATCCAAGTTGCAGTCCTCCGAAAGCGGCTGCAAGGAAAAGGCCTGCACCATGCTTTGTGAATGCTGCTTCGGGCATACTCGGGCATAGACTCCGAAGCCGTCACAAGCCGTGACGAGCACGGCTAAAAAGAAAGACAGAGCCTCTGGAAGCGGAAGCTCGGTCACAAGGCGCTGAGAGGATCCGGGGAAGATCTTCGAGTCGGCCTGGGCCTGGGCCTGGCCATTGACTTTTGCCGCGCAGAGCCGGGAGATCTTTTGACGGACTCTCTTTCTCTCTGCCAACTTCTTCCGACTATCCTATATTCTCGTGCAGAATTGCCGAAGCATGTCACCTACGGGCCTCACCTTTGTCGCTTCGGGCGACTCTTCCGGCGGCATGGGAAAGATCTGATCAAGACTGTTCTGGATGTCGGCCTCCAGGAACGTCAGGCAGAAAAGAGCATGGAACGCAGAGCAGGCCTTTACGACATCCGAGAACAGGAGCAACGGCTCGAACGCAACGACTGCGTGTCATGTGCTTGGCACCCTGCCGCCGCAAGTTTCTCCACGTAGATCGGCTGCCTGTCAGCAAACCGAGGCACTCAGGGCACTTGCGCAGGGTTCGTCATTACCTTCTGCGACACGCAAACTATCTGAACAACATGTACCTTCGAGCATCGTGCACAGCACTCCACTGAGAATCTGTATCTTGCTCCGACCTGTCGAGCATGTGCAAGTCCTGAGACGTCTTGAAGGCGCTGAAGATCTCGTCAAGATCCACCCTGCGTCGCTGCGGGAGGAGATCTGAGAAGGTGCTTCTGCTTCGACTCCCACCCGTGCCCCAACAGGAGACGAGCCTCTCGCTGCCGTTTCTGCTGCGGCTAGCTGCCAGAGGATCGAACTCCTTGGGGAAGTCCGAGAAGGCCTCGCTGTGAGAACAGACGAACACGAAATCCAGCTGCGGCCGGCCGTGGCCTCCAGACCACTCTGGCCGTCAGTCTGTTCTGCATCGAGATGCACGATGTCATCACCTGACGGCGTGGGCAGGGGAAGCTGAAAACATGCGTCAGGCCACACGCCCAAAGAATTTCGAATCTCAACAGCGAAGTCAAACAGGAAAGTCACCGACGAATCTTAAAGCTCCTTCACCACTGGCCAGCCTAAGCGTTTGGCCGAGCTGACCTTACGAACTTCCATCTCCGGGGTACCTGTCCCATTCCAGACAACACAGCGACAAAAGCATGATAGCTTGTGAAGCAGGGCAATGATAATTATTATTAGCATTATTATTATTATTATCTAGCAATGTCTTTCCAAGTACTCTAGGCCTGGCTCCTCAGGCGATGCCGAGCTTGATGCCAGGACTGGCTCCTCCCGGACGCTGCCTGAAGGATGAGTAAGCTTGCGCGTGGGCCACTGGAAAAACGAAGCCCGCCCCGAAAAAGACCAGTCCTTCCATCCTTCCGGGGTGCAAAAACACTCTGTGGACACAAACCGGCGGCAGGAGCCAAAAGAAGTGACGAAGGCTCACTGCATGGTCTATGCCCCAGTGCCTGCAAACGAGGTGGAACGAGGCACCTTAGTCTGCAAGGCTGCAACAGGTGTTGGCTGGACACCCTCGCAGGCACCATGCTTCTGGAATAAGCTTTCGCATCACAGGCAGAGGCAGCTGACAGTTTGCAATGGAGGCATGCAAGCCCCACCACTTGCCAAAGAAATGCAAGTTGCACCCCGTGTAGATCTCTACTCTGCCCTGCCTCATGGATGCTCAATATCCTGGGCACAGCCTGGCGAGCTTACTCCGATGGGAAGTGTGCGGCCGGTAGACAGGCATTCTGATCGTTACCATCTTGCACCAGGATTTGGAAGAAGGGCGGCAGCAGCAAGCAGCAGCATCATCACCACCACCACAACACCAGCACTTGCACATTAATCCAGATAAACAGGGCTTTGGACGGGCCTCCAGCGTGGCCAAGCTGCGGTACTCATGATCCGCCATGGGGGCTACACGCAGGCCAAGGTGCAGAAGCTCAGTATGCTGACAACATGGCGCATGACGCCTGCTTCAACTTGTTGCAGGATATGTGAGCGACTTCATGTCCGGCTGCTTTCCGCATGCAGATGGGAAGTGTGCTGGCAGCTTGCTAAGCCAGCAAATGGACATTTGCCTGCGGACTCGCAACGAGGCTGACATGACATGTCCAAGCGACAAACCAACCGTAGTGGACACACATGTAAAAGCACCCATACACCGAACAAAAACTCGTGAATGAGCTTCGACATCTGTTTGCTTATTTTCCTGTATGCTTGATCCACAGTCAGCCATCACACCGAAGCTGCGGCATCAATCAAGACTTTTGGATGCACTAACCACCGGCAAGTGCACCATCCACGCTGGGGTCTCCGCCTGGTAGCTTCAGCGGTCGTCCTGTCATGTCGCCACAAGCCTTCGGCGCATCACTGGAGAAAACACATGGCGGATGGTTCCATGATATACCGTATGTGCTTTCGCTTCTGTGGTGCAGCTGTATTCCTCAAAACCCAATCCCCACATGCATGGAGTGGCTGGGACCTCTGGACTTCTTCCGTGTGCGCAGCCAAATGAAACAATTCATCGATCACGAGTTCATGGCAACCTAGCAGCCCTAGCAACGAATCAAAAGCCTTCCAACCAATGCTGCGGCAGTGGCACAAACACAAGCGACAAAGCTCAACGTAAAGTCAAGTTGCAGCCTGCAGGCCTTGGGTGGGAAGCCGTAAACCCTAAAACGAGATGCTGACTGGGAACCTCTGAATCCGAAGGACATGGTGACCGGCCTCTTGGGCTATCGACCCCCAACCCTAAGGAAGGAGATGTTGGGTGAGGGGCCCTATGCCCTATGTCAAAAAGCATCTTCGCTGGTCGACGAGATATTGGGAAGGCTACGAGTAGGGGAGCTGCTCCACCAGCAGAAAAAGCTCTGAGCAGGTGGTTAGTGTACTTCAGCTCTCGATTCTCGCGTTTGCGGTTCGTGAATTTGAGGGAGGTCGACTGGTGGTTGTGCTGGTTTCAGGCCAACCAAGACATCGCCCAGGCTTGGAACATCAGAATTGGAAACCAACAAGCCCAATACGTGCTTGCCCTGCGTTACCATACTCTATTTTGCCAATAGCTACATTATTTCGACCACTACAATGTCAGTACTGTTTCGAGATCCATCTTCTCGCCCCAGCAATTGCATCCCAAGTGTCAGCTCACAAGTACACCTGCTGAACAGACAAGCAATTACAGTCTCAAGATGCAGTGTGCGAAGGCTTTGGCAGTAAACGCGCGATGAAGCCCCAAAGGATTGCGTGGTTTCCGTGCAGGATGACTCTTGCTCCCTTTCGATGCACAACACTTGGTGCATGGTGTTGTTCTTGTGTTCCATGAGCATGCTTCCACCGCCCACGAGAAAGGGTATTGGAAGATGCGCCGCTTGTGACATCTCTCGGTGTCACCTGTGGCATTGTTTGGCGTGGTTGCAACCCGAAATGGATCACTTGCGGCAAATTTTTGCCACATTTAAGGTTTCTTTGGTCCCGTGTATATGCCCTTGAAGTGGTTTTTGGGTGGTTTTCCGTGCTTACAGGGCTTCCCATCCACAGCAGATTTCATTTTGCTCGGTAAATGAATGTCAAGCTGGATCGACGTCGTCGTACGACCTGAACCAACCTCAGGTTAGGGTTGGGGTTCA